GATAAACTATATTTATATATAAAGTCTCTTTTTAATGCTTATATTTCCACACATGGTCCATTTATACACTTTAAACTGTTTATTTATACGTTTGACTTGTTTTTATTATTTGGTATAATCTTAAATTTACCTCCATTGTTTCCTCACTGCAGACTGATGAGACAGTGTTTTATATTTGTATTGATTATAGAAGATCTTTATTATTGTGTGTGTGTGTGTGTGTGTGTGTGTGTGTGTGTGTGTGTGTGTGTGTGTACATTGAAAATTAACAGATCCAAATAAATTCAATTAGAAAACCAGAAATAATTTTTCAGGAGAACAACAATTAAAGGGTGCAGAACTTCTTCTTCTCTTTCATTAATATTGCAGCTCTACTCACTGAGTTATTTATATAAAGATTAACCTTTCACACTGGGGTAGAAAATGCTGTTTTAAATAAGATATTAGTGTAAATAATAACAGTACACCTGGTTCTATGTCATTATTTTAAATCCCCAAACTCTGCCTGTGAGCTAACTGCTACAGCTAACAGAGCGCAGTGTCTCCACACAGAAAAAGTCTTTTTTTCTAGCAATATAAGTTATTTTCTTATAAAAGATCTGCGCCGAATTAGAAGGCAGACTACAATCAGGAAGATGAGGTGTCACATGGAGTTTTACTATATATAATATTTCGTTAAGAAGCAAACAACCGCTGAATTGAGAGTTTTCCAAACGGGATCTGGTAAGTACTCGAACTACGTACGCGCTCCTCTTAACACACATTTGAGTTTAAATCTAATTTACACATAGAGATTAAATATAGGTCATAAAACCGACAGACAGACTCATTTCAGAGGGAACATTTAATCCATTAAACTTCCACCTTCACGTACCGGGGCAGCGGAGCTTCTGTATCCGGCTGTGAAGAGCCGAGCAGCGGTCACCGCGGAGAGCCGAGCCCGGGCTCCTCCAGCCGGGCAGAGAGGCCGGACAGCCGCCGAGAGCAGCCTCAGTAGCGGATACATCCTCCCGGAGCCCGCTGGTCCACTCTTTCAGCCCAAAAAAACAACAAGTTTGTGTTTAATTCCGTCTCCAGAAGTTCATCGTGCAGCTCTTGGATAACAGCGTGAAATGTCAACGGGAGGATGACGTAAGGACCCCAAAGAGTTTCTCCTCAAACACCTGCCGGAAAATGTTCCTCGGAGAAACATTTCTATTCATTCTGAAATGTATTTAACTCATAAAACGTCACAAGTGTACAAAAAAAATAATAATAATACACGTGTTACTAATTTTTAAACACGTGAACTTTTAAAATAACTTTCTTACATTCAGGCATCCCAGAAGACACCACGGCGGGGTCCTCGTAGCACCCCTTCGCTGTGATTGGCTGACACAGACAACCTCACGTAATCAAAACAAAGGATGACGTCTTTAATGTCACAGGTAGAAACCCGCAGGTTGAACACCTGAACCACGGAATAACCTGCTTCACATACATCTTAGAGGTTGTGAAAAGAAATAAAAGTAAAAAGAAGTTTAGTGAAATGGAAATAAAAGATGAAAAAGTAAATATTTTTGCTTCAACAGTTTGTTTTTCTCTCAGTGTAAACTGCAACTCACAGTTTATTTATTTATTGCTGATTAATCTGCCAATTATTTTGTGGATTTTGCTCAATTAAATCTCATAAAGTAGTGAAAAATATCTTTAAAATGTCTCCTTTAGTTCGATCAACAGTCCCAATAGATGTTTAATTTAATATCGTATCAGAAAGAAAAGCAGAAAATCTTTTAAAGCAAAGAATCTGAAACCAGCAAATGTTCCACAATGTCTCAGATGATGATTAATAGATATATAAATAAATGAATTCAATCAGTAGTTTAATTTGAAGAGAAACATCAGTTAAAGATTAAAAGTTAAATATGAATTTGAGGGTTAAAACAACTTTAGTGGAATAAAGTGAAGCTTTAATTGTTGTTTATGTAATTTAAGTCTGCAGTTACATTAATTATCATGATGATTAAAATGCTCCTCACACCAAATGTACATTTATATATGTTTACATAAACACATTGTATTCTATAATTAAGTATTTACAGTCCAAATAAATTCCTAAAAACATCACAACAGGAGCTGATGTAAGATCCCGCTCAGCTTCCTCTGTAGCTGCTGTACGAGAACCGAGTCATCAGCAGAGGGAGGTGGACTCTCTGATCAGGCTCACTGATGGTAAACACCACCTGGAAACACACACACACAACACACACACACACACACACACACACAGAAACATGACGAGTCAGCAACTTAAAGTTTATTACAAATCAGATTATAATAACTTTGGTTTCTGTGATAAAAACAATTTGTCTTTGGTTTTGGTTCTAAATAAAGTGTCCAGTGTTATTACAATAATAATACACATTACTGTCGTCTAAACTGATCTCAACCAGCATATTTAACTCAAGGTCATTTAATCCCTCCTCAGTGTTCATGCTGAGGACTTTTGGTGACGCCTTGTGGTCGTCGCCGGTCACAACAACGAGCAGCTGTTGTGAGGCAGAAGGACGCTGAACGCTTCAGCATCTATCTGTTCAGGCAGTTACTGAGCCGTTTGTACAGATTTACATCTTCACTAAGAACAATTAGTCTTTTTACAGGATTTATTTGCAATAATTTATCATTTATAACTATAAAAGTAACTAATCCTCCATAAAGCAGAGTTAATAATTTACATTTTATTCATTAGTAGCAGACGTATGAGTTGTGTTTGACTGTAATCCCATCACCATGTGTAATTATTTAAAGCAGCGGTTCCCAACCTGAGGGTCGGGACCCCCACTAAAGACTTCACAGGGGGTTGCGAGGCCTTTCTTGATTTTAAGGCGTGTAAGAAAACTTCAAAAACATACACAGTAGTTCTATATCTCAGCTTCTGGTCCGCTTCTGTGATCAAATTAAAAAAAGTAAACTGTCTAATAGAACAATGACCAAACATCAGGGAGAAGAAAACACTGGATTTGTCCAAAAAAAAGCCTTTTAAGTGTTTGATTGTTAAAAAATGATAAATATACAGAATACAGACAGAGAATTATATAAAAAGTTCCCTAAACAGGAAATAATCTGCTCAAAATTCATCCAAATCTCTGGTTTTACACAAACTTCCTGCAGTTACTGAGTTCCCTGTTTGAACAGTTTTAATATAATATGAAATATTAATAATATTTCAGAGTCGGTTTAATAAATGATAGAAAAGGGTTCATTAAGGAAAACGTTTGGGAACAAAAACATGTTGTGTGTCCTGATACAGATCAATACAGTATATTGAACACTGAAGCTCACCTCTACATACGGGTAGAAGGAGGTCTGACCCAGAGTCTCCCAGTATGAACCCGTCTCAAAGCGCAGCTTGTACATGCCGGCGGCGAAAGCTCGTCGGCTGACGAGTCCTGGGCAGCGGCCATCTTCATTTGTAGTCCTAAAAATTAAATAAATAATATTAATATTAAATAAATATGATTGTCAGTTATTTTACAGCGTTCAGTGTTTGTCTCTGTTGGCCGACGCCCAGGATGATGCAACAGGACGCTGACTGCAGTTCACTGAACGGCCACTGGTGGCGCTGTTAGCTACAGTTTAATTAAAGTTACATAGAGAAACTTTAAAAAAAAGTTTAACATATATAAACAAAGAAAACAAAAATAAAATTGTCTGCAGGTTCAGTCTCTACCCGACACTCAGCATGTTCCAGATCATCAGATCGGAGTCGAGTCGGTGCAGACTGAGCGCCATCCTGGCTGCCGGGACGCCGTCTCCGGTGTTCAGCACGTGAGTGGTCAGAGGGCTGGACTCTGCTGCCGCCATGATCTTCTGTACAGGTCAACTTCAGGAAACATAAAGCAAATTAACTTCATTCACTTAGATTATTTAGTTATTTTGTAACTTCTATCACTAGAAGGTCTCTAACAACAGATAAAGTGTGATGAGGTGGTGAAGCAGCGTGGGATCATGGGAGTTGTTGTCTTCACCACCATTGGCGTCATTGCAGTCAGCTTCTCCCGGTTAGGATTCCTTCAGTGTTCATGGTTCAGGAGGTTTCTACCGGGAGCCCAATGATCCACAGAGGTCTCCTCCTCTCCAACACAAACAGACCCGCTGATTAAAACCACTAAACACACTGAATAAAGCAGTTCCACCTTAAACACACTGAATAAAGCAGTTCCACCTTAACAATCACTGCTTCTCCCACGCTGTTGGACAGACAGAGGACGTCCCGGAGGGGCTGCGAGCCGAGCTGCTGCCAACGTTAGCTCAGCTTGTTTCTCTGATAACTTAAGATCCAGACGTCCGATGACTAAAATCCTTCATCCGGTAAAATGACAGATTTCTGAACATTGCTGGAAACATTTGGGATAATGGAAGAACTCTAATAGAACACAGATTTTATACACTGTTTAATGAGGAAATGTTACAAATGATAGATTAAACAAACCTTCAGCCATTTGACCTTTGACCCTTCCTTTGTTTTTCCCAAACTCTCATCTTCAGTTAAAGCTTTCAAACTGTGGTGTGAACTAACATTTGGCCTTTCTGTCTTCAAGAGGAGGTTGATTAGTTATTTATACATTAAAAATGTAAACGAACATTCGACCTTTCCTGCATAAGAAGAGACCACAACAACATCCACATGTAGATTAAAACGTATGAGCCTAAAACAATCCGAGATAAAGCTTAAATATCAAACCTGGATGAACAAACTTCACTTTCTGTTGTTCCTGAATGTGAATATTAAATATTAAAGTGCATTAGAGTGAAGAAACAATGCGTTACCTCTGTGTGAGTGTCCCTCTGCTGCTGGTGGTTCATTCAGCTCCCAAAACTCATCCAACCAGTTGTACCATCACTGCACACATTTACCCAGCATGCACCGCAAACAGACCCGGTGGCAAAGGTTGTCCTGGCTCTGATGAATCATTAAAAGTCCAACTTCCCTTCAGTCAACAACACGTGATCTACTGTTAGATGGAGATCCATTTTGCCATCACTGTTTGTCCATGATAAGGTTAAACTGATTTAATTAAAACACGACAATGTATTATTATATTATTATATTATTACACCTGAATGGAAAGTTATTGTTTTATTATATGCAGACTTTGAATGTTCGGGCATAAAACAGATGTGGGTTAATCAGAAGTTGCTGTATTTATTGAAAAATGATTTACAGAACAGAATACGTCCGTGGTTCCGGCTTTATTCGGGCTCACACAGAATTTTTGGGGTTTGGGCCTGATTTGTTTTTGGGCCCAATCAAAGCTCTAATCAATGAAGGAAGGGTTGAAGTTGATTTAAATTATTTATTTATTTTAAGGGGAAATTTGGGTTAGGGTCAGGTTCGGGCCCAAAATTGCTTCCATCTTTTGGGCCCGATCAAATTCTAATATAGGCATCAAAACAGGAAGGAAGTAGTAAAGCTCGCCTCTTGCTTGATTTGATATAAATTATTTATTTATTTATTTTAAGGAGAAATTTAGGTTCAGGTCGGGCTTGGGTCCAAAGCTACTTCCGTGGTTCTGGCTTTATCCGGACTCACACAGAATGTTTTGAGGGTCGAACCTGATTTGTTTTTGGGCCGAAACAAAGCTCTAATTAAGGAAAGAAGTAGTGAAGCTCTTTGATTTAATTTATTTATTTTAAGGGGAAATTTGGGTTCGGGCTTTTTGGGGCCAGATCAAACTCTAATAAAAGGCATCAAAAAAGGAAGGAAATAGTAAAGCCTACCTCTTGCTTGATTTGATATAAATTATTTATTCAGCAATTTATTTTAAGGGGAATTTGGGTTCGGGTCAGGCTTCAGCCCAAAGCTACTTCCGTGGTTCGGGCTTCCACAGAATTGTTTTGGGGTCGGGCCTGCGAGCTTGAGCGAACCATAATAATTTAATTTACTACACAAATAGAGAATCATAATACAATTACTACACACAAACCTCCAACCACACATTTTATGAAAAATACTTTTACTACACTCACAATAAAACAGATTACATTTATCACTGAGGACAAAAACACCAACAGCAGAAACTACAGTGAAGCCAAATGACGTTTCTGTTCCTGCAGTTACAGGATTTCTTATTAAAACATTGAAATAATGTAAAGTATAAAGAACCACTACTGTACACATACATATTTTAAAGACATAACATATTTACAGTCACAGTTGTCCACATTGTCCAGCTGGATAAACATGCTAAAGCATCTGGCTCAGTTTTGCTCTCCGTAAAAACTAAAATCACCCAAACTCATGTCATAAAATGCAACTAAAATATGACGTAGGCAGCACAAGTCGTATGATATTGGACTACTGTGATAGAAAGACGTGGTGTAAACACTCAAACGGGATAGGCATCAATAATTCGTGTTCTGGGGAGCAGGAACATTAATGCAAAAATTGGGGGAATCTGGCCGAGACTTTGGTCAACAACATTCATTTCTGTGGCCAAAAGCGTGTCATTGTAAATTAACTTCCATTCTGACAACAAGCAAAGGAAAAGAGAAACAAATAGTATATCCAACATTCAAGTTAAAACACATTTGTAATGCAAACTCAAACACAATACTGCAGAGTTGCTCACTGAATGGACCTCCACAGGAATGCTTCACAATAAACACACTGTTTTCATGCTGTAAAAGGTATCAAAGGTTTGGGTTCCCTGCCTGGGAAAATGCTCTTCCAATCAGACCACTCTCCTGGGAGTGGAGCTCATTGATTGAACAAACTAAAACCTAATGCTAACCCGGATAAAGCTGTTTTAAGTGCTAGCCTGCATAATTTTTTTTTATCTGCTAAATTGATCCGTAAACTAACTATAACCAGCTGTTAATGTAGGTAAACTGTTCCTTAGCTTACATGTAGAGAACTGTTTTAGCCACTGAACTGTTAGTATCTGTCCCTCCCCATTGGCTCTTTCTGAGGTTTATTCCGCATTAAAAGGGGATTTTGGGGGAGTTTTTCCTCACCCAAATCAAAAGGTCTAAGGACAGAGGGCGTTGAACGTTGTACAGATTGTAAAGCCCCTTGAGGAAAATTGTGATTTGTGATTTTGGGCAATATAAATAACATCTGACTTGACTTTTTGGACCATCTTACCTGAACCAAACAGTTTAATCTGCTGAACTGATCTGTTGGTGGAAAAATGGAATCTTCCCCATTTATATCCACTACGTGCAATTTTTACTCAGAGTTAATGCACATTTCAGGAAATTGTCAGAGTCTATATATCACTTTATGACTTTCACCCAGAGAGTAATAAAACCGTGCTCACTGAGCCTTTACCACAGCACCATAACTCGGTCCTGTACACGTCTGGTTACACATAATGACAACACAACTGATGAAAATAAACTGTGTGATAAGGAGCTGCCAGCTGCTGACTTTATTAACATGAATCAGAGCCGAGTCCCATATCGGCCGCAAGGTTAGGGTGATAAATGGGCCCAATATTACCTTTTTTAGTAAAGGTAATTTTGTAATACATATAATATAACAGGAAAAGGGCCAAAAATCTGCCAAATATAGCTCATGAATTATATTTTTTCAACAGGTACACTATTACCAATAACATAAAATCTAATAAATTGCTCACTGTGATTATTTGTCTGCATAAAGTCTCAAGTCTCCGCAATTTACATTTTTATATCATTCTGCAATTACTGTCATTGAAATCAATGGCTGCCTGAAAATGTAGTAAACAATCTAAAAACTATGCAAAACCACCAGTACAGCATTTTATAGAAACATATATTTTCCCATGTGTCAGTATGGAGGACCAGAGTCAGCGATGTACCAGGAACACATTGGGGTTTGTGTTGGAAACCAGAAGTGGAGAATAAAAATCGACTGACAGTAACAGACAGATTTCAGGAGTGGAGGCGAGTCAGTCCAACGCAGTTCATGTTGCCAACGCCTCCTTAAAGCATCTTCCATCCCAGCTGTTACCGATCCGAGTTTCTGTTTCTGGAGAGATCTGAAAAGAGAAAAAAATTCTACCTCAGTTAAACAAAAACCACCAGACATCCATTTAAAATCAAATCAGGGCGTCATGAAGCATGAACGACTTGGTGTACACTGTTTAAGTATACAGCAGGAGCTTTTCCAACATCCCAAATGCAAAATAATTACTGGAACAAGGTTACGTAAACATTTTTGGGAAGGCAAAATGTAAAGAAATAAGTATGGTGTTGCTCCCCTGTTCACTTTTAATACTATTAAGTATAACAGACTGAAAGTACACAAAGAAAAAGTTCAATTTCTCTTAATGTTCAAAAGTTCAAAAATCTGATATCTGATGTCACTTTAGATCTTTTTGTAATAAATCGGAAGAAACCACTGAATCTTCCAGGAATTAAGTTTGGCATTAAGATGAGGTTGAAAAACAAATAGTTTATCCCATCAAACAACTAAGTTTAACCAGGAAGTCCTGATGTTTTCTTTACTCTGTAAGGTAAAGCGAAAGAGCTCAGTGGGAAAGTAGCTTCATCGTAGCAGAAGATACTTAATGGACAAATGCCGCTGATCTAATTAACTTCAAATTGTGTAAAAGGTACTTTACATTACTGTTGACTGTTTTCTAAACCATACCATCAGCTTTTTACCTCCAAACAGCTATTGGATTCAGTTCATTTCACTTCTCTATGGAGAGCAACTTAAAACACGCTGCAGATACTTCACAGTAAACTGTTTTTTGTTTATTTTTGTCAAACTTGTATTGTTGTTGCATTGAAAATACAGTCGTGAGGAAGGATTGTCTTGAAAAAGTGTTCCTTAAATGCACCACCAAGGAGAATTTTGAAAGTCAAACTACCTCAAGCCACCTGGAAAATGAATCCCAAACCTTAATTATACATTAATTTAAAGTTGAACATACTTATTATTACTTAATCATTACTTATATTAATGCAGATTAATGGATGTGGACGGGACTAATCGGACGTTGTTTATTTAAGCCTGAAATTGATACGGGTTAATCAGTAGTTAACAAACTGTTTTCTCTGTTAACCTTATTCGTTAGCTAACATTTACACAACTGTGTTCAATGGATCCCGTTTGGAGCCACGATTGCAATGTTTTAAAACCATTAATTTTACCGCCTCTTACTATCTTACCATCACATTTTAGCTATTAATCATGAATGTATGTCTACGCTATGTTCGTGAACGTTGGCAACGTAGCTGATACTGAAACAAAATACTACAGGAAACGCAAAACTGTGAGCGACACTTTTTTAAATTTGGAATATTTTAGTATTTTGGATTTTTTATAATTTATTTCATCTAAAAATGTCAGCGATTCCTCTGAGATACCACCAGAGGCCGCTCATGTACCACCAGTGGTACACGTACCGTAGTGTGAGGGAGTTCATACCTGAGTCGCAGTATCACAGATCGTCCTCCAGGTCAGACTGATGCTTTATCTGGAAACACAAAGGAAACAGCTTTTAAAGAGACATGAGATTAAAAAATACCTTTTTAACCCTTTAAGATCTCATCCTCAGTTATATTGTTCCCCTGTTTAACAATTTATGCCAAAAACATTTACAAAAACTTAATTTATCTTTATATTAAATCCAATAATTGTGTCTTTCTGTAAAACTAAATGTGATGTGTGCTTACGTCAGCATGAACTAACCAATAATATCCTGACATTCACCCGTCAATCAATCTTCAACTTTTACTCCAGCTGCTCTGCCTCAACTCCACTAACTGCTAATGTATCTGCCGTTAGCAACTGAACCCTGTCTCAAACTGGTCTCTGTCGGCACTGGATGCTGAATTCGGTCTCAGTCCGATATAATATCTGCTCAACTGCGCAGCAACACATATTTAGAGCTATTGGCTACCGCGAGAAGACTTAAAATACGTAAATATGAGGAAACAAACAGCTCTTAGACTTTCATCCAACGATCATCTATACCAACATTTAACACACCAAAAGCTAAAAAACAAAAGATTTCCTGTTCTTACTAACACAATCTGTTGCACACACACACACACACACAGGGTAATTGCTAACACACACACTTCCTGTCAGAGGAACAATGCAGCAGATTAAGGGTCTGTTCTCTGCCTCCGCTCAGATTAATGAGGCAGCCTCGCGCTGGCAGGCAGGTAGGAAGCCTGCAGGCTGATTGTATGTCATTATGTTTCCCTGTAAGGAAACAGGAACCCTGAAGGCACCGTTCCCTCCACGCCACTCATCTGCTCGCAGCACTGAGACCTGAGACAGTGAACGCATCGTCCATCTCAGATCTGCAGTGTGGAGCGATCGGACTTATTGATACATCGGAGATATTATACATGAATCATAAAGACACAGTTGGACTCAGTAAATAGTCTTTAATCTAAGTTTGTGCTGTTTTTTATAATTGTCATAAACTATATTTTGGACTTTTGTTAAGTAAAAGCAAGATAGTTGGAAACCTTAAATGTTCTGATGTTTTATATTAAATAATATAATAATATAATAACATATTATAATAACATTATCCACAAGATGGCAGTATAACATTACCCTCTGTAGTTGAGCTCGGTGCAGGGGGCAGTTGTTGAGGTAGTGAGGTAGTTACCTTGTGTGAGTGTAGTTCTTTATTAGGAAGACTGTGTTGGTAGTTTGAAGGGTAGTACGGATTGTGGGGGTAGTAGTGGTATATATTTACCCTGTGGGGCAGTAGTGGTTTATATTTACCCTGTGGGGGTAGTAGTGGTATATATTTACCCTGTGGGGCAGTAGTGGTTTATATTTACCCTGTGGGGGTAGTAGTGGTATATATTCACCCTGTGGGACAGTAGTGGTTTATATTTACCCTGTGGGGGCAGTAGTGGTATATATGTGGTATATATTTACCCTTTGAGGGCAGTAGTGATATATATTTACCCTGTCGGGGTAGCTGTGGGGGCAGTAGTGGTATATATTTACCCTATGGGGGCAGTAGTGGTATATATTTACCCTGTGGGGGTAGCTGTGGGGCAGTACTGGTATATATTTACCCTGTGGGGGTAGCTGTGGGGGCAGTAGTGGTATATATTTACCCTGTGGGGCAGTACTGGTATATATTTACCCTGTGGGGGGTAGCTGTGGGGGCAGTAGTGGTATATATTTACCCTGTGGGGCAGTACTGTTATATATTTACGCTGTGGGGCAGTAGTGGTTTATATTTACCCTGTGGGGTAGTAGTGGTATATATTTACCCTGTGGGGCAGTAGTGGTATATATTTACCCTGTGGGGGTAGCTGTGGGGGCAGTAGTGGTATATATTTACCCTGTGGGGGTAGCTGTGGGGGCAGTACTGGTATATATTTACCCTGTGGGGGTAGCTGTGGGGGCAGTAGTGGTATATATTTACTCTGTGGGGGTAGCTGTGGGGGCAGTAGTGGTATATATTTACCCTGTGGGGCAGTAGTGGTATATATTTACCCTGTGGGGGTAGCTGTGGGGGCAGTACTGGTATATATTTACCCTGTGGGGGTAGCTGTGGTGGTAGTAGTGCTGGTACTGAAGGGGCTCGTCCTCGCTGGCCTCTCCCGGTTCTGGACTTTCTCGCTCCAGACTGCTGACTGAACCTCTGTGAGGAGAAACACTCGACTCTCTGGACACTGGACACTCTGACAGACAGACAGACAGTCAGACAGACAGTCAGACAGACAGACAGACAGTCAGAGAGACAGTCAGACAGACAGACAGACAGACAGACAGATTATTATATTGTCTCCTGAGAACCATGGAAGTGTCTTCCAATTTAACTCTGTGTGATTTCTTGCCTCTTTAGAGGTAAAACAACAACTCACAATTTAGAGTTTCATAAAAATATTTTTATTTTAGATTTTACAGGATATTTCCTGTAGTGGACAAAAGAAATTGAAATAGGAAACAAGAAACCAATAATGTACTTTGTTGTCAATATACTGGGAACAGTTCTGAAAAGGACTCCAGTTTTCACTGGTGGTAGAATAGCAGGTTTGAATCTCCTCCTCCTCTTCATCTTTCTTCTCCTCCTCTTCCTGCTTTTCTTCCTTTCCTAATTTATTTTTTGGTTTGTTTTTCGGAGTAATTTTTTTTCTGAATTATCGAGATACTTTGAACTAACGCGAGAACCTCCATCCTGGAGAAACATTGCTATGTCTAGCAGATCTGAATGGGCTTTCCTTCTGAACAACCGCAAAGTCCTCAGGTTCCTGCGTAGAGTCGACAAACTAATAATAATACCATCTATTTGACTTAAAGACAGGACTATCTCCCAGTGTCTGAAACCCAGATCAAAGTATAATTTGATTGAACTAAATAAGCCGGTTGTTTGTTTCTGTTAAATCGAGCTTTCAATTAAGGAATGAATGCGTCTATTGTTTCAAATGCTCTCTAAACTAAAAAATGATTCCGAAAAACAGACAAAAAAAACATTTTTTTCAAGTGAATGCAATACGCTTCCGTATGAATCTCCCTCAACTATTCGGTACAAAATATTCTCTGCGTCGGTTCCGCCTCCTTTAACAGTGTGGAAAGAAACTGAAGAGGTTCAATGAAACATAATTGCAAACAACTATCTTTAATTACATTAATTGTTGTATTTCGAAAATACATTCAACATGTTAATGAGAAATGTATTTTGGGGCAGAAATGTGAATGTAAACAAAGAACTAGCTGGCTAGTTAGCTATTAGCTAGTTAGAGTTTAATCTCGTTAAATAATTCTCATGTCCAATCCTAACACTTGAGATAACCTTGGAAAGGCCAGGATGTCCTCTTTAAAGCTCAGTTTACTGAACCAACGTTGGAGAAACAACCACTTTTTAAAGTGAACTCAGACTAAACTAAAAACTGATTCTAGGTTTGAATAAAAACATTTTAGTTAACTGAAATAAAAATAAAAACCAGACGATGTGTACTCAAATAAAATTAAATAAATATATAAGATATAGTAAGTTTTTTATCAATTTAATGACAATGTCGGTGTAAAAAGGGCCAATGTTTCCCTCTGAGAGGCAGCGCAGTAAAAACCGTCCTGTCAGCAGCTGCTGAGAGAAGTTTCTAATATTTGTCTTTGGAAAAGAAATCATCTACAGTGAAGTGAAGATTGTCAACATGTCACTTTGGATAATTTCCTCATCTTTTTTATGCTTGCAGGGAAATTTTCCTCTTCCAAGGTAGAGAAATAAAACACACACACACAGAGAGAGAGAGAGAGAGAGTGAGAGTTGGTCGACAAGATAACTGCTGAGCGCTGAAGGGGAGCTTATGAAAGGTTATGAGGCCGGTGTTTATCGCTGTTTACCTCACTGTCATAATCCACGCTCCGCTGGCGGCAGTTTTGTCATTGAACCATTACTCACAGATGCAGCGTGATAGCAGATCACATCTGACAGTAAACAGACCGACACACTCACTCTCTCTCTCTCTCCCCTCTCTCTCTCTCTCTCTCTCTCTCTCTCTCTCTCTCTCTCTCTCTCTGAGTGCCTCGCAGATCATTTGCAATAATAAACATCAGTTCGCAGTTCGGTCGTTTTTCTGTGCGGATCAAACCGGGATCAGACGGACACGTGAGGACGATGTTATTCTTTTTAATAAAACTGTGGTTGCTGACATCCACCTGTGGTATGAATAATTCCAGTTTGTGCTCTTATTCTAAAAAAGACTCACTAAGCTGTTTACATGAACACTGTTTACGTCCTACAAAGGAATTAACCTTCTTTTCAAACACAACTGTTTCATCCATTTTGACTCTTTGCATCATTGATGTTTAACCCCAAAATCCCAACTGGCGCCGCTTTATTTCGTTATGTCTGCGGCGCAATTTGGCCCCCGCGACCAACGCTGTTTACTTGTGTATTTTGTCCTTAAAAAGAAAACAAAACTGTGTGTTTCTGCTTAAATCTCCTCTGACTGACTTCTGGCCAGGTTGAGTCTATAGCGGTATCTTATTTTGAAAATTGACCGGATTCTCTGTGCTGTTTCCGTGTCTGACTTCCTGCCAGTGCGATCTGCTCTTTGCTGTTTGATGCGAGGGGGTCATGGTGACCATGGCGGTGCCCGGTGGAGAGAACTTGATACGGCGTTGGAGGCGGCGCTCCATTCAATCCTATGAAAACTAGAAAAAGACGCCATTGTTGTAATTACACGGTCACTATGTCAAATTGGCTTCAAAAAGTTTTGCATCAAAAGTTTTCTTCTGGTCGTTCAACGCTGCACTCGCTGCACCCTCCCCTTAACAAAAACAATGTTATGTTCAGGCGATTGTTGGGAGGCTGTTTGACTGGCAGCTGTCTCTACCTGAGCGGTCCTTCCTCTGTCGGTCCATCTTGTCCACACAGTCCAGCAGGCCGTCGATCTGAACCTTGATCACTGTCAGTTCCCTTTTTATGGCGAGTAGCTCCGCCATCTTCACTGCAGAGAGAGAGAGAGAGAGAGAGAGAGAGAGAGAGAGGGGTGAATGTAAGTCATTATAATGAGAAACCTTTCAACCTCTCAAATATTGAGACCATATAACAATATATTTATGCTGTTTTACAAGGTTCATTATTAGAAGGAAGGTAAGCTCAGTTTATGTGAGTTATTAAGGTTAAAATACCATCTGCTCCACACTGTCAAACCAAACTCCATTCAAAAAGTGGCTGTTTTAAGGAAGGGGCATAAAAACTTTATTTCCACCATCACTGATTCTCTTCAGTCTGCTCACATTGACTCAGTAACATCATTAACTAACCTGTGAGGAAGACGGACACATACTGACTGTACGACTCCCTCCATTTACCATTTTTATCCTCTCTGCGGGTGGCCTGAAGCTACAGATCTCTTCTTTTACTGTCCTCCGTTGATTAGGAAAGTGAATAAACTGTTTTCTTTTTACTGTTTGGTGTGCAAAATGCGACTCAGCAGCTTTTAGGCATAGTACCATTCGGCTCTTTTACAGCTCTTGTTGTCAACCCAAGGGGCTCTCATCCCTAAATATCCATGGGAACAGGACTAATACAAACATCACTCAGAACTGTTTCTTGAAGCGTTTCTGAAGATTTCTCCTTTTAAAACACACTCAAGTTTGGACCAGAGTCTGGCTTTACAGCTCCATGCAGATGTAAATGTCATCCAGTGACCCCTGCAGTCATCGAGCCCTCTAGTCCTGCACCATCAATTACTCTCTGCGCTGCACTCCCACTTCCTTCCACTGCACGAGCCTTTCGCCCTCGCTGTGCTCTGTAATGGACCGCCAGCACTACCAACAGCTCGCCAAACGACCCTGAAAACTGCTGCACTCCTGAAAGCTTTTCGACCTCGGAAGCTTGCAAAGGCAATCTAATTTTCTTGTGATGGGGCGAAGTAAAAACTATTAAGGCTTGTAATAAACTAGTATAAACAATTCTTATTTGCCACGCACTATTAACTCAGTCTAATTGCGAGTGCTGATAGGCTCGGTTGGGTTATAGCAGGAAGGAGAGCCCCGCGGTACAGAAGCCTTTAATGAAGAGACCATCTGGCGCCCTGCCACCCGCTTCCCCTCCAACACCCTGGGGCTCTACCAGCGAGACAAGCTTTCACACAGGCAGGAGATAACACGTGCAGGGTTTCAGGAAAAGGAAGCGCTCCAGGTTTCCACAGGAGTTCGCAGATTTTTAAAAAAGCTAAATATTACGGCCACAAATGTGAACACGGTCGAGAACCTTGTGCAATTGAAATTTAAAAGCCTTTAATTGAAGAGGGTCGAGGTGTAAAACACTGTTACGTATCAACCTCTGCCATCAGCGGGGTGTCGCTGTCTCTGCCCTCTCTGGTTAAAAGCTTTTTAACATTCAAGCCCACAGTCGCAGTCGTGATACTCCTGTTTGTCCTTTACACTCCACAGCGTTACGGTCACAACCCCATTGTGAATGTACTCATGTGGATCTCAGAGGATAGATACAACTGCTCCGCGCATAAGACAAAAATATAAATCTTCTATATCAAGACAGACATTGGAAAATTGAACATGCTAGAAGATACAGTTAAAATGTTGGTTCAAAATACTGTAATGGACAAGAAATGGTCGACTAATTCAGACTTTTTGATTGTAAACTACAAATTAATTTTGAGAAGATACCAAGAAGATGATGAATGAAGTCAAAAGGGTTCACGAACAGTACGTTTTATTTTGGTAATGTTATTTTCTGGCCTATTTCCTGCATTTTCTCACTGCCTTTCAGTACATTTATTTAAAGGTCCAGTGTGTAACATTACATATAGGATCTATTGAAAAAGAAATGTCATATAATATTTAAAAGTATTTTTTCATTAGTGTATAATCACCTGATTTAGTGACATCTAGTGATGAAGTTACAGATTGCAACCTAACTGAACACTGTTCGCATCATTATTTGTCGTCCTGGGAATGGGCTGTGAAGTGTGTAGGAGAAACTATGATGGCCGCGAAATTGTGAAAAACAGTATCTAGAGTAGTGCTTGGTTTGTCCCTTCTGGGCTACTGTAGAAACATGGCGGACTCCACCAGAAGAGGACCTGCTATGTTACACACTGGACCTCGAACATGTGCTACTAAGGGACTAACACACTGCTATATTCTGCTTTAAGTCATTTGATTGGAAAGAAAAGTATAGCTGTGTATCATCCGCATAATAGTGATAAGTAACCAAGGAGGAGCACGTAGAGAAAAGAATAGGGCCAAGGATTGAACCCTGGGGTACACCACACACCAGCAAGACAATAATGACCCATGGCCACAGAAACTGGTGCTTTTACTTAAGTAAAGGATTTAAATTCTTCTTTGAATTCGTCTTGCAAAATTCACTAATTCGCTTGTTTGCGTGAGTAGAAAACATTAAGGAGCTCTGCAGAAAGAAAGCTGGAGCTTCTGGATGTATAAACACCTGCAGTCACACACTTAGTCTGCTCTGATCTGGAGTAAATCAAAGTATTTTGGGCTCATACCACCACTGTGAGCCAGATTAAAGGCCAAAATTTTGCCTCACATTTCTTGCACGAGTAAATATGAACGATCCCGAAGGAAAAGTAAAGCGAAAAATGTATTTAGCATTTGGTAGGAACACACCTAAATGAGTTCAGCTATGTTCAGTATGAATCAGGTTTAAATAGGTTTAATATAAATAGTTCCTTGTTACCAGCAGCGTTATGTTTCCTATAAAACATGTTTGCTAAAATAAGTTGACCATCCTCAGGCTGCAGGCAAAGCCAAACCCTGATCTGTGACAGAGTATTATTCAAATCTGAGAGTGAGTCAGATGAAATGTGTCCTCATACGAAGACACTGGCTGTTCAGGGGGGAGCCGGCGTTGTTTTGAGCACAGCAGCTCTCTTACATTTGCTGTTGGAGGAGGAGGTGTGTGTGTTGTTGCTCCTGCTGGATGCTCTCTTCATCCTCAGAGCTGCTGTGGAGGAGGACGAGGAGGAGGAAGATGAAGGGCGGGACCGTTTGATCGGACTGGGATCCACCGGGACCGAGGAGGGGACACGCTGGTAGTCAAACACCCTGAAAACAAAACACACAAACACAAGCTTTAAACACAGAGTCCCACAATGCACGAGTGCTCGAGGCGCTGTTGCTCTCTCGTTTGCGTCTTGACTGTTTTATTACTGTAATGAAGTGGAGGGTAGTTTATGTCATGAACAGATTTAATCTTTATATTCGCAACAAACTGAAGAGCAGCTGAGTTTGTGAGAAGAGTCTGTGAAATAGTTTATAGGAGGAAGAAATACAAAGAAACAATTCAATTTCCATTTCTTTATATATATTGCTGCAGAATAATTACATAACCAAACAGTCAATGGTTTAATTAAAGCAACATAGTAATAATTGATTAAATCGTTATCCTTATGTGGAGTGTAATTTGTCCCCAGATGGTAGACGGGTCCCCACAATGTGAGTGAATAAACACATTAATGTCGCCATAATGCAGCGGTGTCAGACTCTTTCTGGCAATTATCAAATTAAAATTTTAGTGGAATACTTATACAGTTAGACTTCATATTTTTTGCCCCACACTTTCAGCAGGTGTCAGGTGTATCAGAAGTGACGTCTGCTTGTAGGAAGATGAATGAGAGTGACTGGAGGATGAATGATGACCTGTCTGTTCACACGGAGACTCTGACTGTACCGCCGTCTCTGCTCTTTAATATTCAGGGCTTTTGGTCGACTGTAATTGGATCACATTCATATTTCGGCTCTGGGAGTCGCATATTTTACTAATAAACTTGCTCCTCCATTAGTTTGATTAGCACGTCCAACCTTTAGCTGGAGGAAGACGAGGCAGCGGTCCCATTAACACATCAGTCACACCAGTAGAAGAGTGTAACGAGCTGCTGTAATTTATTTTTTTATTGTTGTTTTACCTCCTTTTCTGTCAGTCAATTATTTCCTGAGTTCCCCAGAATGCTGTTCGACTTGCAGAGGAACGACGTATTCAACTGTTGGTGAAAAAACGATAATCTGTGAGGTAAAATGAGTGTTTTTGTGGTGGAGAGTGATAGTGATATTACGGCTGTTTCTGGTTAAACTAAAGGTCTATCTCTGTAGGGATCCTTTCCATAATGCTGTCAAAAACAACAACTTTTAGTGATGGGTTTTGATTCCAAGTTAGTTTACATTGCAGCCCCTTTCACAAATATATTCTCATTTAACTCTGTGAATTAAGGATTTATTTCCAACAAACAGCATTGGTGATTGTTTGGAAAGACTAACAAAGACTGTTTTATTATATTTCTGTCCCATTGTTTTGGTCTGAGATGCTGGAGATCTACTGCGACATCTACTGCCAAGTGAATTTCGTATATATAACCTTTAAGAGAAATATAATTCCTTTAAAAGACACTTCAGGAGGGCGACGGAGATGTTTAAACCCAGCTTCTCTTCCTGAAGGACGTTCTCTCTGCTTCATCCACTAACCAGCTAACCTAGAGAAAAAAAAAACCTTAATTCTTATAAAAGTATTAAAATGATTTATAAGGAAATTAATTGAGAGTGAAAGGTCTGATGTTACGATGTAGCCCCGGTTGAAAGTCGACTGAAAGTGAATTTGGTCTTAAACCTGCAGCACAGCTGCTCGAGGTGAGCTGAAACTTTGTGAAGGACGGAGCAATTTATCTTATAACAACAGATAACTGATTTCATTTCATCAAATAATCCCACATTCCCTCTTTTTTTCTAACAGGCGTCGTTTGCTGAGTCCCCGGTGCCGTGTTTTCTCTGGCGGTAGTTGCGGTCTGATAGTGTGTTGTGCTGCGGGTGAGGCCTGACTGACAGCTCCAATTTGATGCAAGGGAGCGATAGAGGAGGACGACGAGCAGCCTTTCCTCTCCCTGTCAACCTCTGCTGTCTATCACGGCAGCCATCTACAGCTGGAGGAGGACTGACGGCACCGGGAACATGAATACACTTCATCTCTTTCACTGTCACGCACACAAATAAACATGCATACACGCACGCACACCTGCGTACTCCCACTCAGTTCATTTTCAAAAGGCTGCTTTAGTTGCACGGAGGAGCACATTTACACTTCAAAAGGCCCGAGGAGAGCGATATCATGTGTGCCACAAAAAACATGTAATCGTGTTCACCTGCAGTGAAAGACTGCAGGCATCTCTGCAGAGATCCTCTGTGTTACTGCAGTTTATGGAAGTATTAATGTGGACTACACTACATATATGAGATCAGCCAATCCAGGTACTCTGGACTCAAGCTTCCCGCCCCCTTTTGGGTGAAAGCAGCCCTTCTAATTTGACTTCTGGTAAATGTAAACTCTGAGGTCTTTACCAGTTTAATACCTTCTTACGTTATCGAGCATGCTTTGTATTTAATAAAACATATCTAACTGTGTCTTAATAAGATATTACAGCTAATATTGAGGTGGATTTAACCAGTAACAACACTGGTTGCATAATATCCCAGCAGAGGAACCAGATTATTCCTTAGTCCTTATTTTCAGTGTAAGAGCACTCAAACAACTTCTCAGTTTAAGAGAAAGTCGTCTGGTCCCAATGTTGGAAATTAAGCAGCTGTTTAGTTTTTCAGTGTTTTAATAAAAAAATATAAAGCTAATAATATTTCTGGAGCCTTTATTTAAGATAAAGTCACTGATTGTTATTCTGCTGTATAAAGAATCTGTGTCTTCTTGTAAGTTAACTAATTATTCCTCTTAGGTTACAGTACAAATTCTGAAATTCAGCTCAATAAAGTGACCAAAACACTTATTTTAAGAATCTTAAATAAGTTGATAAGAACAACTTGCTTACATTTTTTTTGCTTTTTTGTTTTGTTTTAAGGCTCATTACGGTCTTTCAGTGTTAGATCTTTATGCTAGTTTTAAGAATTCAATGCTCAATACAAGAAAATGTGATTATATTGAAGAATGTTTGGTTTGTTTCTTGAAGGACTGCAGGACTGACCATGCAGATGCAGAAAAAAACACTTCTCTTGTCAAAATAGTAAGTTATTGAAATGTAAAAGGAAAAGGGTAAACTGTAGCTGTGGTTGCAGGAACTTTACCGTAATAAATACAGTTGAACTTTTCTATTATTACAGTAAAACCTGGAATTTTATTCCATATTTTGGCATATAAATACAAGTTTTTGCCAATAAAACAAACCACAACAGATATAAAGGTGGTTTTCTGTGCAATTTACAGTCTGTAATATAAAAAAAAAATCTTAATTCCATATAAATTCCTTTAAAATGTTGTATAAATAAAGGTTTTGCCATGAGATATGATGGTGTTTTACTGTTAGAGAAACTGATTTACCACTCCTGAGGAGAAACAACCAGTTTGTCTCATTAGTCAGAAACCTGCAGGTCTGAGAGATCCGGCGTCCCTTATAGAGACTTTATTTTTACCTCCTTATAGAGATCTGCGCTCAGTTTACTGCAGCGACAGAGAAATACAGCAGCACAGCAGAGGATTAACATACGATCAGCAACTTTTCCCATTTGTGAGGTGGTGTGATCACATTCAGACCTCCCGCTGTGTCCGTCCCCAGCAGTCTGAGGATAAACGCTGTGTGTGTGTGTGTGTGTGTGTGTGTGTGTGTGTGTGTGTGTGTGTGTGTGTGTGTGTGTGTGTGTTTTGGACGAGAGGGGCTACTGTACCTTGCTAAGCTGATAATCCGCAGCCCAGCAGATAAACACCTATAAATATTTACAGCACGGCGGTGTTGACACGACCGGGGCTTTACATCCTTCATACAGAGCGAGGCGGAGTTACAGATCATTCCTGGAGGCTTTTTCAGAGAAGTGCATCAAATATCGTCCTTCTGCTTGCTAGAGGGGTCAAATACTCTGATTACATCTGGACTAACACTGCTGAGGTGTTTCCCACTAAATAACATCCTCTAGTCTACTGGTTCTGTCGTTTAATAAACTGACTCAGTTACATATTATATGGATGTTTCATATTATATTAAAACTAAAATATTAATCCAAACAGTGAACTGCAGGAAGTTTTGGATGAAGTTTGAGCAGATTATTTCCTGTTTAGGGAACTTTTTACACAATTCTCCGTCTGTATTATGTATTTTTATATCATTTGTTGCTCATATCATCTATTTTGACAAATTCTTGTTTTCTTACACTGCATTCACATGGATTCAGGCAGACGGGCAGCGGGAAAACACATAACATAACAATATGTTGCTGTGGTGATGAATATGAATGAATATTGAATGTGTATGAATATTATTTCATGTAATTTATGAATTGCGCCTCAGTGTCCATGTTTTTTTGTGTGTGTGAGGGAGCTACATAACAGCCGAGAGGAGGACAACAATATAATAATAATAATAATAATAATAATTATAATAAAATATTTATCATTCAGCCTCCTGCTCTCATACACTAACGTAGCATCTCGTCTACCGTTTGTCTGATTCAACATGAATGCAGCATTACAGCCCTTAAAATCAAGAAGGCCTTGCGACCCTCCGAGCGTAGCTTTGACTCCTTGTGGGGTGCTGTAATCCCACAATGCACTGCTCCCACAGCAACACTCAGTGACTGTGTTAACTTATGTACTAGTATCCTGGGTGTCAGCTGGACTCAGATCTTTTACTTAAACCTCATTCCAGGAGGTTTCAGCTTAACACTGATGCTTCTTTAAGACCCTCCTGAATTTAGAGCTTTAAACTGAATCATATGACTTTTATTCTCCAGTGAACTGATTTTATTTTACTACAGAAAACTTCTCACCGATTAGTCTAATTAAAGAAGAAGTAGGTTGCACAGACAATCAACATTGCTGTGTGTGTGTTTATTAACCACAATGACATTTTTTTTTCACCTGGATTTTATAAGGAATTCTGCTCGTGACTCCAGAAAACGGCAGAAACATAACAGGCGAGTATCAAACACCACACAGGCGATCAGAGGTGTAGATCTGAGTGAGGAGCTAAAATACAATTAAACATTTCTTTCTTTAGGTGTTTCCATGACAGAAAAAACTAGTCTCTGAATTTCAGATGAATCTCTGACTGTGAAATGAGTGC